AGCAAAGAAACATCATATTAACTCAATTCTTCCAGGGGGTATGACTTTAAAAGTATTGGTTGTCATTAAGAACAAACTTGTCAGGGGTTCCCGGACCACCCCCAGGCCAGTGATTCCCAGGACTTAGTACAAAGGTGCACTCACAGCTGAGATTCATTAGAGCGAAAGGATTCCACACAAAATCAGCAGGGGCAGAGGCCCATGGGGCGGTGTCCTGAGGAAACTTGGCCCGAGCTTCCAGAATCCTCTCCCGGTGGGGTTGCGCAGGACGCACTGAGCTCCCCCCAGAGTGAGCCGTAACAGTGTGTGCAGTGTCGTCACCAGGGAAGCCCACTGGAGACTCGGTGCCAGAGTTTTGACTGTGGGCTGGGCACATGGGCACTCTCTGCCTGCCTCGCACCCAGACTCTGGACTCCCAGAGGGAAGGCAGGTTCCCAGCACAAACCCTGTTGCCCACACAAGCAGCTGAGCACAGGGAGCCCCTCCTCAGTGAGGACGGTGGGCACCGTCCTGATACCACTCAGGGGCCAGCCTGGCACACAGGCCTCTCAGGATGGTCTCGGGCCTGCTGTGTAGTCTCTCCTGCAAAACTCTTTAAAGATCACTTGAAAAAGCAATACAGTAAGTGATGATGTTGTGAAGATGCAAAATAGAACAGAGGGTATGTTTTTTAAAGAAATAATTGTTTTAAAGGTATTTATTAGAAGAGATTTTTGTGTCTTGGGATACAGTTTCCAGCAACAGGATCATAAACAGATTTGAAGTAATTTACACACACAAAAGCTACAGAACTAGATAAAGTGGAAAGGCTATTACTGGGTGACTCCAAGAGCGGCTTCTGTGATGACAAACACGGACATACAACATGCGCACTTAGTAAAATTACGTTTTGATAGAGAAGAGTCCAAAATGAATATAAATTACATTACTCAATATCTAAGTAGTACTATATTAATAATTTAAATATTAGGACTGGGCATTTAACTATTTAATGTTCATCATTAAAAAATAAATAAATAAATGTAAAAGTTGGCCAAGAAACATCCTTGGGGATCTTCTCATTGGATCTCCTTAAGAGGTGTGACAGGCTGGCTGATGGCCCCTGATACACCCACGTCTTCAGTCCCAAGCTTCTGGATGGCTCCTCCTATCCATATGACCTCGTGAAGGCTCTGGAGATGGGGAGAGTGTCAGGTGCGCCCGTGTGAGCCTGGGGTCAGAGCCAGAGGGGATGGCCATGCGGGGAAGGAAGCAGAGACCGCAGGAATTCAAGGACGGGTCTCGAGCCCAGGCAGACGGGCAGGCGGTCGCCTCCAGAAGCTGCAAAGGTGAAGGAAGCAGACTAAAGCCGCCAGAGGAACCAGCTCTGCCACATCTGCCATCAGCCAGGTCACAGTGACTGCAGACATGAGGCCCCTGAAAATGCAGGAGAATTAATGTGTGTTGTCTTAAGCCCCCCAGTTTGTGGTAATTTCTTTCAGCAACCCCAGGAAACAAATACAAGGGGGAATCACTTTATCACAGGTGAGGCGAGAGGGAAAGCAGGACATGCGTGAAGCGGTCTCACTGAAGCACACTCGGAAAAGCATCTGGCTCATGGCAGACGCCACACACCAAGGTGCTGTTGTTCCCGTTACAGCAAATGCCAGCTATCACCGTGAACGGCCCCAGGACGGCAGGTCATGAAGCCTTGATGGCTTCCTCGAGGAACAGAACACCTCTTGGCTTTCTCCTCAAACAGGAATAGATACTGCCTCAATGACAGACATGACTTCCCAGTTTATTCACACCATCCGCCTCACACTGTGTGACATAATGATGGATAAGTCTTCTGTGCAGTCCACTCAATTTTTCTACTAGACTCTTACTGTCATGTGCCTCTGCTTATTAAAAAGAAATGGTTTGTAATTCATATAAGTAATATCTTATTATCTATAATCACATTTGTTTTTATTTTTTAGAGACAGGGTCTCACTCCATTGCCCAGGCTGGAGAGCAGTGGCACAGTCATTGCTCAGTGCAGCCTCAAACTCACTCCTGGGCTCTAGCCATAGCGAGCACACCCCCATACTCAGCTAATTTTTTTTTTGGAGAAAACTGTAAAACTATATTGAGATATTTTAAGTCACGTATCTAATATAAAACCAGTTTGCATTGGTTCAGCTTGTCTTTGTTGAAACTTGTGGTTGCCCTTCACCTCCTTCTGGCAATTTACATTGCACTGATTTTGGCAGAAACTTCCCCTGGACATCAGGACCATTTCCACATTCATCCCAGTCTTTGAGACAGCCCCCGGAGATCAGCTTCCCGGTCCAGCACAAGAATTTCAGCGGCACTGTGATCTTCCTCTCTCCCGGCCAGGTGCAGGACCCGACCTTCAGGGTCCCTCTTACTGAGGCTGTTCACTGCTGGGCTCAAGCCCAGGCCCAGGTAGCTCAGGAGGCTGCAGATACCGTCTGGGTCTAAGCCTACATGCTGATCTTCCTTGCCAACTCATATTTCACATGGCTGCTTCTCAGTAGTGGGGAAAGAGTCCAGAATGCAGGAACGCAACCCTCACACCCTCGCAGGTCCACAGTGTTCACCACGTGGGCGAAGGGGCCGAGGGGAAGACACCCGGTGAACCTTGGCTAACGTTTTAATTTTTCTGTAGACGAGATCTCACTCTGTTGCCCAGACTAGTCTCAAACTTCTGACCTCAAGCAATCCTCCTGCCTTGGCCTCCCAAAATAATCACATATGTTCAGCTTATAGTTTAATTTTTCCTTAAACTGTATCAATTAATAGTAAAGCTAGCAGAACAGACAGTGAAATTCAGAAGACCACAGGGCACTGGATTCCAGCTGAACTTGCATTACAGCATCGGGGCTACCAGTAAGAACGTCCGCTCCCAGGCCCCTGCACCTCCCAGAGACTCTCACTTAGTAAGTCTGGGGCAAGGCCAGGAAGCTCCAACTACCCCCCACCCACACACACACACACACACCTTCCAGTTAACTCTGAAACACCCTGACTGGAGATTATCTAACCCAGCCTCTTCGTTGTGTGGAAAAGGGAAGAAGGTCCAGCCAGAAGCAATTCATCCAAGCCCCAAGGCACAGATGGGATGTGATATGAAGGTCCCCACTCGCCGCACAACACAGCCGCCTCCCATCAGGAGTCACCGACCACACCACACAGGCTGAGTGTCCCTTAGAAGAGATTTTTGGGACCAGAAGTGCTGCGGATTTTTTCTGATTTTGGAACATCTGTATATACATAATGAGATATGTTGGGATAGGACCCAGGTCTGAACAGGAAATTCATGTATGTTTCATATACACCTTATACACACAGCCTGAGGGTAATTTTGTGCAGTATTTTTGATAATGTTGTGTATGAAACAAGGTTTGTGTCCATCAAGCCATTAGAAAGCAAAGGTGTCACCAGCTCAGCGATGCCTGGGGCATCACATCCGTGTCAAAAGGTTTCCAATTCTGGAGCATCTGGAAAGGGATGCTCAACCCGCACTGTCACTCCTTCACTCACTCATCATTAAAAACTCAGGGTGTAAAGAGGACAATAAAACAAAACAAAGGAAACAAACTCAGGGTGATCTAGAAATAAATATTGCTGCCATGACACTTTTCTATTCCCTTCCAAAGTTAAAACCTCCTGTGAAAGGTCCTGTTCTGATAAACTCCTCCACTCATGCTGGGCAGCACCCTAGACATGCAAGTACAGAGAGGGGTCCTAGCCCTGAGCCACGGTGCAGCAGGCCCCAAGCGAGGCAGGGCCGGAAAGACCAAGCCAGCACCTAGCCGTAATGACCACGCACACAGGGCGAGGCGAGAGAGAAGCCATCCTCCAAGGGCAGAGAGTCTGGGCGCACCGAGGAGAAGAGGAGAGCGAGGGACAAGAACAGCACAACATCGACTATCACAGCCTCCAGGGTGACCCCACAGGCTGCAATGGCGGCCCCCACTGCCAGGACTTGCCATGCAGCGCATGTCATCCTAAACACCACTGCTCTGAGGAAGGCTCTGTTACAATTCTCACAGGTAGATGAGGGAGTGGGGGCACAGAGAAGCTACGTAACTTGTCTACCAGCACACAGCCAATTAACAGCAAAGGTGGATTTGAACCCGGGCTATTCTTGGCTTACCCACACTTACATGGATTCATAGAGGAAGGGCCTGAGACAGCAAGACACCACGCCACCTTCTCCACCTGGGACCTGCCCCCACAGGCGCCTGCCCACCTCACACCCTCCCAGAGTCATCATGTCCCAGCAGCCTCCCCCCACCACCACCTCACAGTGCCCACAGGTGCCGAACACCCACCCAGCACCCCCTCTCCCACCACATCAGGGACACACACACCAGACGATCTGATCCCTGCCCTCCAAGACACACCCATGCAGACCCGCACTGGCCATCCCTGCATCCAGCCACCTCCACCACTCACCTGAGGGGCCCTCCAAGAGGTGAGTGGTCACTCTTCCCAGACCTTCCCCGGACCCAGACCAGACTGGACCTGCCCACCCTGGACACGGCAGGACATGGTGCCAAAGGGAGTGAGCAGATTCTGGAATCACGAAGGCCACTTCCAGGCCATTTTACTGAGCCACCAGTCAATACCTTTCCACACTTCCCTTCTTGGGGTGCAGGGTGGGCTGGAGACAGCCCTTGCCTTAGCCTCCCAGGCCCCAGCTCCTCTCCCATTTGGTTCCCCTCAGAGGACACCTGCCATTCCCAGGTCCCAGCTCCTCCCCCACACAGTTCCCGGCAACAGACACCTGCCATTCAGCAGTGTTGCGGGTACCAACTGCGTGCGGGACTCTGCGCAGGCTCAGGCTGTAACATAAGGAAAATAGTCCCTTCCAGGAAGACCTCTCGGCCTTCAACAAAGGGCCTGGGAGGGGACAGGTAACCCAGGACACAAACAGATGACAGCACATCCTGAGAGAGTGGCTCCCAGACCTGAACAGCGCCAGCCGCTTCCCAGAGCTCAAGGCAGACAAGAATCTTCGAATGCAAAGGGCCCACCAAGCCCTGAGCAGGGAGACGAAAAAAGTCCCACAAAACTTTCAGAAGAAAAACACAAGTCTCACACAAAGGCATGAGAATCTGCCGCCAGACACCTGAGAACACAGAGCCTGCAGGTGCATGGGCCTTAGGCAGCCAGGTGGTGGCCTGGGGAGACCGTCACAGGGCTGCACAGGCCACCCAGAGCACGCAGCGCCACGGACCAGCTGTTCTCCCCGTGCACCTCGCACCCCGGCCGCCCGTGGAAATAAGTACGAATCGCTAGCCCCGCTCCAAGACTTACAATCTGCAAATGGGGAGGGTGCCTCACCATTTCAGTGCCATGGCCCGCCTGCAGCAAGGGGAGTGCTGAGCTAACATGCTTCACATCTGAATCTGCCCCAAGTCCTGTGACAGCGAACAGAATCTCTCTCATCGAGGACACAGCCTCTTACTAACGCCGGCTGTAGAGATCGTCACGTTTCTTTCTGTTCACCTCCAGAAGTGCACCGGCCCTGTCTGGCCGAAAATTGGGGTGCTGCAGGCACTGGGAGGAACACAGCAGACGCAGACCTGCAATTCCCCAACCAGCTCAGGGCCAGCGCCCTAGCAGCACCAGATGGACAGGTGCTCCGTGCACACAGCCCCTGGGCCCAGAGCTGCCCGCACACCTGACCGCATGGTCCTGGGGCAGTTCACCAAGGCACCACCCCAAGAATCCCACAAACACCAACCATGCTTCCTAAGCCTCTGCACGTTTCCTCTGCCCGGGCGCCCCCAGACATCCTGGTGAGTCCGGCTGGAGCCCAAATACACCAGGTAAGGAAAATATCCCCTGCTGTCTCTAAAAGACTTTTTGGAACTTTGGGAAGAAGGAAGGACCCTTTTTAAAAAGACTGTTTGTCAGGCAGAACCTTCTGAGTGTAGAATTTCACATCTCCTGCCCAAATACCAGGGCACTTAAAAGAGTTCTGTGAACACAAGGAAACAGACTGCTGTCCGTCCACACATTCCACAGTGGGGAGTGCCCTCTCCATGCTAGGCACAGTTCTAGGCACGAGCAGAGGCCGCGAGGCCTCGGGGTTGGCACACCCATGGCCCGGGGCAGGTGCGCGATCCACGCCTGCCGAGTCAGGGAAGGAAGGAAGGGTGCCAAGAACCTATTTGGCTGAAACATTCTTAACTTTCTCTAAGTATCTGAATGTAATTATTTCTATGCATGTTTTCTACATTTTCTAAAAATAACAAATATTACTTTTGTACTAAAAAAGTAAAAGTAAGAGGGTTGATGAGGTTTTACATGAAAGCCATCGTAATCATGAATAAAATACCTAATTGCTAGTTTTACAAAAATCCACCTGGCCTTCTCTCTTCAGACCCATGGCAATCCCACCCCAGGCTGGCTCGCTGGAGACGGACCTCACGCCGTGTGCACACGCTCCGCAGTGTGGCCTGTCCCCAGCGGTGCACGGGCCCACGTCCAAGACAGTCTGCCTAAGAGCAAGACGCATCGGCAAAGGCCATATCCCAGGACAGAAAAGCAGCTGAAGCGTGTCGTTCCATAAAGCTCCTAAGCTGGTGGCGAGAGGCAGTTAAGAGGTGTGAATGATGGGCTCACCCCAAACCCCGCATCCGTCAATAAGAGCTTGGTTAGCACCAACTCAGAAAAGAGAGCGACGTGATGAGAGAACCCAAACATCGGAAACTGATGAAAACTCACCCCGGCACATTTCTTAGTTGCCTACGGTGAGGGGCTAGCAAGAAGCCTCTAAAAAAGCACCTGGAATCCACCGTCACTCCCTGACCCCAAGCCCCACCACCCCATCACCCCATCACCCCTCTACCCAGCCCAACCCAGCTCCTCCAGCGAGGGCTGTTGCTACTTGCCGGGTTCATAAGGCAAGAGCTGTGTTGTTCCCACCCACCAGCGTCCCCCAGGACATTCCCCACCCAAACAGAAGCAGAGTGCCACAGAGGGTGGGCTCAGATGCCCGGGACCACTCCCTGCTGCCTGCTCAGTCCCCTGCACCAGTTACTGCCTCCCCAGACACCCGTGCAGTGACCCTGAGGCTTCGGTGCTGGAGCAGACCGACAGCTATTTGTGTTTAAGGAAGGAAACGTCATCAAGGCCAGTGCCTGACTGAGGAACAGAGGGTGCCATGTATCTACAACAAGGCAGGGCAGGAGCCGAAACATTCAACTCCAGTTATGCTAAAGAAATCTAGATGACACAGGGGTGGAAAGGCTGTGCCGCTTAGCGAGTGGGACTTCCCAAGTCAGCCTTTGTCCCCACACTCACACTCCCCACGGTGGAGTGACGCCTGCATGCTTCTCCTCGTCTCCATACCCTCCCCTAAACTCATGTCATCGTCATTGCACCTCCTGCCACTGACTCTCCTCTGAGCAGCCCACTGCCCCATGGCCCCCAATGCTCCAGTCAGCCAGTTCCTCCTTCCGCTTCTGTCCAAGGCAAGCCTGCTGTGCATGTGACATCAGAAAGGTGCTGTGTGCTGAGGTACAGCAAGACGGCTGGAGCCCCTGTAAAGAGATGAAGGGTGGGCCTCCCAGACTCTCATGGAGCAACCAGGCCCCAAGAAGCTTATGGGCATGACTCCTCACCCTTCAGGACCCCGAGGCAGAGCAGGGCTCATCTCAGAGGAATACCAGGTATGGCTCGTGCCTGATGGAAGGGACACCAGTGAGACTCCCAGGAGGCCCATAAACTTAGAACTATCACTGCCAGCTTGAACTACAAGGGTCAGAGTTAGTACAAAATAAAAAGTGGGTGCTGAACCCCAAAATCCTACTGGCAGGAAGCAGGCTGAGGAAACCACTCAACTGCAAGCAGGTGCTGTGTCTCAGACAAAGGGAAGCATGAGTCAGAGAGAGGACTCAAAGCCTCTGAGGGCAGAGGGACAGTTAACAATCCCCAGTCGTGACACCTGAACAAGGAATTGCCCTATGTGCCCAGCTGGGTCTCAGAAGTGAGGCACGCCTGAGGCTCCTTTCTGCCTCCATTTTCCCTCATTCTGAACAGGCAGGTCTGGCCTGCGGTGCTTGCCATGATGGCACCGTGGCTGTGGGTGGATGAGCTGACAGCGTGTCTCTCTAGTTCAGGTCAACAGACCGGGGTACCGTGCACCCCAGGAGCTGCACCTCAGCCCACCTAGAGCCAGTTTCGAGGATGACGCGGGGCTCTGAGCAGATGCTGTCACAAAAGGATCTCGTGGGGAGTGTATCTTGCATGTGGGAGGGACGTGAATCTCTGGGACCAGCAGGTGTATGGTGACAGGTGGCCTCTGAGATGGCCCCCATGACACCACCTCCTGGTCATCCTGCCCCTGCAGTCCCTCCCCTGGGTTGTGGGCTGGACCTAGCAACTCGCTTCTAACAAACAGAATGTGCAAAAGAGATGGGTGTCACTTCCAAGATGAGGTTACCAAAAGACCATGGCTTTCGTCTCGCTCATGCTCTCCCTCACTCGCTCTCAGGGAACTCACTGCCCAGCTGTGAGCTGCCCAAAGAAGCTGCCCACATGACAAGGAACGGATGTCTCTGGCCAATAGCCAGCGAGGACGTGAAGTCTTCCAACAGCGATATTACCAACCCTGGAAGTGGATCTTCTGAGGCTGCCGGCAGCCACACAAGTGTGCATGGAAGTGAATCCTCACCACGCAGCCCTGGCCAACGCCTTGATCACAGCCCTGCGTGAGCGTCACCAGGACTCCTGACCCCAGAAGCCTTGCAGCTACAGACAGAGAGTGCTGCACAGCGGCAGCAAACCAACGTGCCACGTGATGCAAAATAGCTCCAGGGTCGTTTGACTTGCTGCCGTTTCTGCTATAAGCACAAAATGGCGCTGTACTTACTTCTAGGTGGCAATGTATAGCAGGTGGTTTCAAAAATGGTCTCTGAAATCTACTCTGTGAGGAGGTGATTAAGGAAATCACGCCGGGTACACCAGAGACAAACACTACAGAATGGGGAAAAGTGGCTAAAAAGAAGCCGAACTGATCATAATCTCACAAGCAAAGTCTAATTATCCCATTTTATAAATGACGAAACCGAGGCTCCGGCACCACGACTGGAGGCAGTTAGGATTTGAAGCCAGGCTGGCTGACTGCAGTCCGGGCTCTCCAGTGTGGCCCCGGCTGCCTCCCTCTCCACCAGCACACGCCTGGGAGAAAGCGGCCTCCCTGGAAGCACACACTTCCGCTAACAAAAACTAGTTATCCGGTTCTCAGGGAGTCTGGCTCAGCTCCTGGGTAGCTTTAGTCTCCTGAATCTGAATATTAATAATCTATGTTTAGGCAGCAGGGCAGTAGCCACCAACATTATGAGTAGTTTTTGAAGAAATATGCAGTTTTTGAATAATATATTCGGCTGACCTGAAGAGTACAATACATAAAATGTCCCAGGTCAGCATTTTGTCATTATGCATAGTTTTGCGTGGGTCTTTTATAAATGTCAGTTCTTGATGTTTTAACATTTCAAATCCAAAGAAACCAAGAGGCTGAGCATCAGGGACACACACATTAAATGCCTTAATTCCGGGCTCGTGGAGCAAATGCGCTTTCTTTCTCTTCCGGAGTCAACCTCAGAAAGATCCCGCACATTGCTAGGCAGCAACACAGCGATTCGGTGCTTAGAAAAGAATTCACTCAAAAAACAATGCAGTTTTTAAAATTTGGAAGTACTGCAAATATGAATGATTAGGGGAAAGAAATGAGAGGTGAAGAAGAAATTAAAGACTGGCAACTTTCAGAATGCTTC